GTGGTTATGGCCGCGTATAAGCCGGCAACTGACAATGCTGCTACGAAGTATCTGCATCATCAATCGAAACAATAGACTTTATATTAATAAATACGACTATTTACAGACTAGAAAACAACTAGATACAACCGAATCAAACACGGAAATAAAATATCAAAATACTTCTACAACTAGAGAATACAAACTACAATAATGGAGAATAATAAACCACAAAAACAAGAAACAAACATAAAATAATTATAACCATTAAATTATTCCGCCTCCAAATTTGATCGAGGTTGAAAAAGGAAAAACGAGGCCGTAGTCAAGAATTTCAAATTTCAAATTTGTAATTTTTTTTTGTCCTAATTAGAGACAAAATAATAGAGCGTTTCTTTTTATTAAGATGTAGTAACTATATTGTTCATATGATTATTATTTAAATTATGTGGAGTCATCTATAATTTTATGTAATGACACATATTCAATGTATATTTATTGCAGGGCACATGACAGTACATCATTTGTGAATAACAATGGATGACTCCATAAGCCGAGCAATCCAATTGCTCCACAGCAAAACTGTATTATTCGTTTTCCAATTAAGATAGTTACATGAAGAGAAAATTGATGTTAGTTGTTCAACGTTATATATAGGGGAAATGTTAAGGTCCCATTTCGAGCTATTTCGTCGGGGTTTGTAACCGTTAGAACATCATATAACCTATCGGGGATAGTTGATCTAACGGTTACAAACTCCGACGGAAAGGTTCCGCACCAGGACTGTAGCATCTTCTATGTATATAACCCAATAAACAAATTGGTATTATTCTTGTAATTAATCCCTGTTTAGTTACATAATATGTAAATTTGAATAATTAAAAAAAAAATCATAAATCCATGCATATTCTATAAACAGTATACTAATTAACTAGCTTATATAAAAAAAAGGCAGTGCATAAATAAAAATACTTACATCAAAGCCGGTGAATGATTGAAGTTGGCATCTCGCGATACCAAGAAAGGAGGAAAAATGATTGGAACAAATTCCGATTGTTTGCCAGTAACCATCACCACCACAGCCGCTACGCATGAAGCAAACAGCAGAAATCTGAATACCAAATCACCCACCGCCGAGCCGCCATTACGCGGCGGCGGCAGCAGTGGTGCCGCCGTTTTCTCCCCGGAAATTTCTACGGAGGCCATAGATTATAGTTCTAAAATGTTGTTGTTTACTGAATGTGGATATGGTCGTGGCAGTTGTGTTATATTTATAGAGGAGACAATTAAAATGTCGGGTGTTCAAAATTATATATATTTGGTCAGAATTTGCGACATGTCCAGTTAGTTGCGAATGTATTTTATATTGTGTCTACATTTGTTTTGTAGGGGTGTTCACATTAAATTTGCGTTGATTTTGGGTTATTGGTGCATATCTGATGTTTCGAAAGTTTTGAAATGTGGGGAGATGCTATGGTTTCGTTACAAAACAAATACGTCGGAATTTGTAATCGTTAAATTATTTAATTCTGACGGTTACAAACCTTGATAGAATGGTTTCTTAACGGGACCGTAGTATCTCCCGTCAATTGGATACATATTTGACGACTTCATCATGTTAGGAAATATTTTATTTCCTATGTATAATCTAATTATGGGCAACATATTATATACAATTATATTATATTAGCTATCCAATTATATAATGGACTCAATTAAGTAATCTAAATTAAGTAGAGTTCATGGGCTACATAAATTGATATGGACTTAATGAGTGGATACCTAATATTACTAGGGCTAGGTGATAATGGGTGGCCTACCCTATTAGTATATATAGACCCTCTTGGTTATGGTCCCCAACATACTAAATCAAACATAGTTTTCTTTTCTCCCCATCTGAAAGAAGACGACGGTCCCATCTGAGGAATAAGGCGATTTAGTTGAGGAAGACCATAATACCAGTTGATCTAATTAATCAATCGAGTTCGTGTTCCGCAAAAGAAACTCAATGGATCCAGGTATTTCTATTAATCTTTCAGATCTAGAGCGATGTTGATTTTTCTAGAATTAAAGCATGTTCTAGGATAATTGTTATTGAATTTATATTATGTGATAATAAATTTCTACAAGTGGTATCAGAGCAGTCATCGATTGCTAGATCTGTACTTAATAAATCTGAATTGCAACAATCTGGATTTGATAAATCTGAATTGCAGTTTAAATTCAATATTTCGGACTCTGCCTATGCTTTGAAATCAAATACCAAGAAAGAAGATTTATATGCTAGTTTATCCGAATTGCTTTGGTTGAGAAGTTTTATTATTTGTTGAATTTAATTACCCAACAACCATGATTTGTGTTTTTAAATTCATCCTCATAAATCTATGGGCCATAAGGATTTGTAGTTGCAAATTGTTGTTGGGTTTAAACTGGGGGTTACCATTCAATTTGCGGGCTTGCTTGGGTGTTAATTATAATTGCTGTGATGTTACATTAGTAATAAAATTTTGGGCCAAATACGCTTATTGCTTGCACCCAGTAATTGTTGATTTGTATGATAATCAAACTGTTTCAGTTATTGAGACTACGGTATTGCTAAATTGTTTCATCTAGTAATATATGCCTTTACTATGTGATGTTATGTTGTTGAATGTCTTAAAGGCTGAAGGTCTAAACTTGTTTTTGGACTGATTAAATAAAAGTCTAATTTGGTTTATAGGCTTTTATTTGAATTGAATTGGGGAATACTCATTAGAATAACGTGTGTTATTGTAGTGATAAATGTGTGACAATTATTTGGCTATATATATAAACGATAAGTCGGCCCAAAGGAAAATTTATTGTTTAATATGTTATTATTGTCAGTATTTCATCGCTACACTAAGATATCAATTACAAGTTAATATTTTGTCCAAAAGATGAAATATCAATGGAGTTATGATGTCTTGAGATATAGCTACACTTATTTGAGTTTATCATGTTAATTCTAAGTAAATTTTGTGACCGTAAACATTGATACTGTTACTTGTATGTTTTCGGGATCTATGGAGTTATCCATCTAAAGGTTGATTTAAAATTTATTATGGTTGTTTATAAGGTTTTAAATCAACATAAGGGACTAAGTTTTATGGTCTTTCACTAAAGAAGATAAAATAAAATAGTACATCTTTATTTTGTCTTATTTTGTTATGAGTGTATTAATTTGTGCTTAAGTTGACATTTGGTTTTCGTCTAATTCGGCTCAAATTAACAAATTTTATTTCTAGCTTAAAATCTAGATATTTGAACTTGGTTCTATGTTTTGTGGACTTAATTCACAATTCGGCAATGTTAAGCCTAATTTAGACGTACTAGGCTTTGGCTATATAAAATTGGATTTAAAGTCTAATTTGGTTTTATAGACTTTAAACTCAAATAAAGTTAATGGACACAAGTTCATATAAAGTTTCATATTTTTGACTCAAATTAAAAGTTAGATTTTGAGATTATCTTTTTCGTGGTATCTGAAAATATTTATAAGGTCTGGAGTTTGAGTTTGACCTTGTGGTAGACTATTAATGTGTTTTCGGAACGCTGGGCTAATTGTTCCATAAGGATAAGATTTATATTGAAAATCTTCATATATAATCCAAGAGGATTTTTTGAGTCAATTATGAGTAACATATTAAGCTTTTTCATGACTTGTGTGTTTAATTTGGTTATGCTTAAATTCCAAAATAATGTCATGTTGAGTTTATATATGCTTGAACTCATTTTTGGATGTAAAGGGATTGAATTTTAGCTCAATTTGGTTATAGTGGGCCGTAAATTCAAAAGAAAGTTTATTTTGATTTAAGCTTATTGAAATTAGATTTTAAGCCTAATTGGTTATATGGGCTTTCAATCTAAATAAAGTTGGAATTAAATTTATTTTAATTCATGAACTTTATATTCAAAGTTTTCCTGGGGCGACGATTTAACGTTGTTCAATTGAGTAATAGAAAAATTCTCGATCACTTTTCTATGATGTTGTGATTTTCAATTTAATCAATCAAAGTATCATGTTGCCATAGCAACCTCTGTGCATAGAGAATGACTTTATTGAAATCATTTTAATGTTGTGTGAAGTTGTTCATGTGATCTGTGCTCGGCCCATAGGTAGACGCAGGTTGACCGAATAATAACGCACATATGGTGATAAGAGAAATTCATATGGCTTTTACTCAATTGGTCTAGTAATTTTCAATTTAGTCAATCAAAACATCATGTTGCCATAGCAACCAGTGTGTGTGGAGAGCGACTTTATTGAAATTACATAGATGTCGTGTGGAATTATTTAT